TTCCCCCCCCCCCCTGCTCTGCCTTTTTTTTTTTTTTTTATTTCACGCGGCAAAGTCGTTAAAATAACATAAATATCATTTCGCCGCGGTTTCGCGTGTAATTCGAATTTTACTACGGGGAAAAACTTTGCGCACCGGTCTCTTTTTTTTTCTTTTTTTGTTTTTTTACAGAACGAGGACGATATATTTTTAATTTTTTTTATTACTGTTGTGTATACGCGTTCCGAAACGAAACGACCGAACGACGACGGCGGCGGCGGTCGGTATATATCGGGGCAAGGGGCCGAGTGTTTTCGGGAATATACGCGCAGAATTATTTTCGGAAAACAATCGTCTGTGGCGGACGACGGCGCGAAATCACGAACCGTCTGGCGCGCGACGCAAACGGAATGCCGCGACGGCCCCCCCGGGACTTGTTTTTTTTTTTTTTTGATCCCCTCCGTTCATCGGCGGGCACCGAGGGTTTATTCGCGGCACGAAAACAATCGCGACTGAGTACTGAGCGTGAAAAAACAAAACGGAAAACCGGTGGCGTGTGAGCCGACCGGACCGCGCGAACGCGGCGGCGCTCTCGGCGGATCCCGGACGGGCGATTTTAACGAACAACCTCCGTTGGAACCTCCGTTGGAAACACGCGCGTCCCGTCGAACGCTTTGGTGCGCCATCGACGCTCCTGCTCAGAGTCGTCCCGTAAACCCCCGATCGTCCGTAAACCGAAAGCGAATGGCGTGTTTTTTTTAAGTGTGGGGGGTACGCGCTAAAACACCCCACGCAGAGCTTTTTGAAAAAAAAAACCCCTGGGGGCAATCGTCCGCGCCAGAAACGCAAAATACGGTTACGTGTGTTTTGAAGTTTCCCCGAGTCGGTGTCGACCGTTTTCACTGTGCGCGTGCTGCGCGGGAAATAAATCTAAACGGCCTCGCACCCGGCCGCGGATCTGTGGAAAACGAGTGACATGGTATGCAGTTTTTCCGCGTCGCCACTGCGATTGTGGGCGAAAAAAAAAAAACAACAAAATACTAATTGCCCGAAAATCGTTCGACGCTCGTAAGCTGTTTCCGAACACAGTAAAAACAACGTCGCGTGTTCGCGAGTCGCCTCGATCTTTTTTCCCCCCGCGACAATTCGGTATCTCAATTAAAACCGACGAGCGGTCGTTACGCAAACGGTTTTCCGGGCATCCTCTTGTAACCGCGGAAAACCACCGAACGAACGTACGGCTCAAACGTGCGAAACGTTATGATTCCGTGTCGGCGCGGCGTACCCGTCGGCCGCTCCACTCGTCTTCGGCCGCGCGCCGTTCGCCCGGCGTACGGCCCGAGACAAGAGTTCGTCCGAAAGGGTCCCGGGGAAAAAAAAAAAAAACAAAAAAGAAAACTCTCTCGTAGAGTGTACACACGCTCGAGTGCGTGCACCTTTTCGGGGGTGGGGGGACGGTAGTGGGGGGAGGCGCCGGTTCTCCGTGTTGCCGGCACGCTCGACCGAACACTCAACTGTACTCACCGACGGCGGCGACGTGAATAGCCACTGAAATGCCGTCGTCGGCCTTTAATCACTGTTGTTAGCCGTACGACGACACGGTAACGATATAACGCCGTCGTCGTTTCGCTCGGAACGACGGTCGACCGGCCGCCACTTAACACATTACGCCCCTTTCCTCTGACTCCCCCCCCCACCCATCCCCTCGGCGGCCGCGAAAACACCGTCCGCGCCAAAGTCGTCTGCCACAATGTTATCGTGCACGCATCGCTCGCGATAATGCCGACGTGCCGGCGTATCGCTACGCCGGGCCGGTACCGCTATTGTTACTTGCGGGTAAAACGCGCGAAAAAAACCGTTAACGAAACCGTATACTCACGCGGCGTTCGTGCCGGGCGCCATGGACCGAGACAAAAAGACGACGCAGGCCGCAAGCCACGCGTACATGCGGCACGCCACGGCCGTTCGGCCGGCCATCGTGTTCCGCCGAGCCGCGGGCCGCACGGCCGTCGTCGTTTCCGTAGCGGGATCCGCAGCGGCGCACGCTACCCGGGTGCGGCAATCAGCGGACGGTGGCGGCGCCGTCGACGGCGAATTCGCCCCCCGTCGCCGGTCACGGTGCTCCGGAGGCTGCTGCTCCGGCGGCTGCAGACGATGGTGATGGTGTTGATGTTGATGGTGACGGTGATGATGATGGTGGTAGTGATGATGGCGGCGGTGGCGTCGGTGCGACCGTCGGTACCGGGGATCGCGGTGCCTGCGCGGACCCCTTCGGTGACGCGGTGTCGGCGCGAGCCGCCGGCCGCCGGACGTCATCGGCGTCGTGGTGCAGGTGGCCGCCGGTGCTGATGGAGCCGAGTCGCCGTCGTCGTCGAAATTGCAGTCGTCGTCGTCGGAACTGTCGTCCGCACGAACCACCGGTCTTGGACCACGGCCGGGCTCGCAGCATATACGCCGTCTTCGTGATGGTCGCGGTAATCCTCGCAGCCGCCGCCCGGTGGTGACGGTGTTACTGGCGGGCGTCGTGACGGCGATCACCGCGGGACGTTGTCGGACCGCGATCGGTCCGGACGACCGGGAAAAAATGATTAAATACGATACGTATCGGCTTTACGGTCGGACACTGTTACTCGCCGGACGAAAAACTGCACAATCCGCCGTACCGACGGAGCGGCGACGTACACATGACATTCGTGCCGGACGGACCCCGCGCGTATACGTGCGCCGCCGTGTGCGTTACGGATGAAAAGAAGGACCGGAAAAAAAGCCGTGTTCGCACACGCGCGAGTACGTGTTGGCCGTGTATACGTGTGCGCGTGTCGGTGTGCGTGGCGTGCGCCCGTGTGCGCGTGTGTTTGTGTGCGCGCGTGCGTGTGTATGTGCGTGTGCGTGTGTGTGTGTGTGCGTGAGACCGTCCGTCCGCGCGCGGTTGTCCATGCGCCGCGGTCCCGGAGCTTTCTCCGGGGTTGTTTGAGCGCTCCGGCAGCTGGGCGACCGACGGGACGCCCGTGCCGCCGCGCTGCCACCGCCGCCGGGGTATTCCGCGTGGCGCGCACCCACACTTCTCGCTAGCGCGGCGGCGGCGGCGGCGGTCCGGCACACGGAGCGCGCGGTGCTCGAGCGGTAGCGGCGACGGCTACGGTCGGGGCGGTGGCGGCGGCGGCTCCGCGATACGCCGCGCGCGCCCGTATTGATTCGGCGGCACGGGCCGCCTAGCGCGCACCCTCTCGCCGCCGCAGCCGCCCAGTCCGCACCACCTCGTAACGCCTCGCCTCGCCTTAAACCGCCGCCGCCACGCCGACTATCGTTTTTCCTTCCTCTCACTCACTCTCTCTCTCTCACTCTCTCTCTTTCTATCTCTCTCTCTCTCTCTCTCTCTGACTCTCTAACTCACTCTCTCTCTCTCACTCTCTCTCGCACACCGTCAGTCACCTCTCCGCTCTTGCTCCCCCCCCCCCGCACGCCCAAAACACATACACACACACACACATACACACACACACACACACACGTACGCCACCGCCGACACCACCCAATTACCTTATATAGGTTTTTCGATACACACACACACGCGCGCGCGCGCCCCTTCAAAACTTTAGACTGTTTACGAAAACGCGCGCGAGCTCATCTCTACGTTTCGATAGCGTATAATTGCACGCTATTATCATATTGTGACGCGCGTTAAACGGACAGTGCGATACGCCGAACTTGACGATAACAGCGTATACGAGATCGAGCCGTCGTTTTCTATTGACTTCGACCCCGCCCCGGTCGGCCGCCGGCCGTTTCGATGACCCGGTTCGGCGAAGACGGCCGAACGGTTCCGCGGACGGTTTCGAAAGGGTCCGGCGCGGCGGCGATCGGTTCGGATTGCCGGTGGGCGACTGGGGGTGCCGAAGAACGGGCGGGAACGGGTCGAATATGAAATACAGTTTTCATTTCCCCCACAGAAATCGCGTTCGCCTCCCCCCAACCCCCGGCCCGTTCCCCGGCGGAATCGCACCGCAGCGTACGCGAAACGCCGAGCGCGGCCCTCGGCGCCGAGCCGATCCGTCCGATTGAACGCTACGGCGACGCGGGTCCACGACGACCGCTCGTTTCGGCCGTGCCGATAACCGAATCCGTTTTCTTCGTTCCCGCGCGGTCCCGAGCCGTCCACTCGGTGTACTCGACGTTATCGTCGTTTCGGTCATTACGTTCGCGGACGGCCGACTTAATTAGACGCAATAATCGCGCGTTTCGCTACTCGTTAAATGTCCGGCGGACGTCGCGCGGCGCGAAACCGATACGCGCCCGCGTACGTCGCGAAACGGCGGGCCGCGTGTCGTTAAGGAGGTTATAATTTCCGGGCGAAATCCCCGCCCCGCGCATTTGTCATTAACGCGCCGCGTTACGATCGGCGGGCGGCCGCGGGTCCGGCGCCGTTCCGACGGGAAATAGCCGCGCGTCCTTCCCGTCGGATTCCGGCCCTTAACCGTGGGGACCGGCGCGACTGTTCGGCCGGCTTTGCGGGGTGGCGCTGAAATTACCGACGCGTCACGGATCCCCGCGGTTGCAACGTCGAGCGACTACTGCACATTTCGTTCGCGGTTTTCCGTACGAGAAAATGACGTACACCGCGAGTGTCAGATTCGGAGCGTAACGAGAACCGTATCGGCGCGACAACGGGAAAGAAGTCGTTTTTCGATTTGCCGATAATTTTTTTTATTTTTTCGCATATCGAGCAAAACTGAAAAGAAAAGAAAAACCCCGTAGAAGGAACAAATTCTCGTGTATAAAATTCTCGCGCCACGTGTTTGCGGTCGCACTCCACCGAAACGGCACGACCGATTTCGATGAAATTTTTTTTCGTATATTTGGTAGGCACGAGAACGGGTCGTAAAGTTTCATTCGCGTTCCAAGCCGCGGCCGACAATTTTTTAATCGTGATTTTCGAATTTCAATTCGGATTTTAAGCGTTATTAAATTTTATTTTTATTTTTACGGTGTACCTTAATGGCACGGATGAAATGAATACAAATAATTCTAAATATCTACGTGCCATTATGTTTTGTGCAATAAAATGTAACGCTATAAACTGTTTTCACCGGTAAGACAGTAAGTACGACAATTTTTTCTGTTTGTGTGTGTGTTGCAATAGACAGTGCCAGCAAGAAGCAAGTGGTCCCGGTTGGGGCCGTCGAACGAATAAAGCAACACACGTGCGAAATAGTAGAGCGGAAAGAGCCGACGGACAAAGCTTCGCAAGCATTCTAAAGTTTTTCCCGACAATACACGGAAGTGTAGTTCTGCTTTTCTTGAGGAAATGTTATCACGGAAAACTTTTAGTCCGCCGAAGGTGGATTACCCACTTCCAATAATTTTTTTTTTTTTTTATTTGTTATTATTCATCACTGACACGGTCGAAACCAAAAATAAATATGGGTGAAAAATGTCACGGGCAACGCTGTGAGGGGGGACAGCTAATACGTTTATGAAAATAATGCTGTTATTATTTTGAGTTAAGTTTTTTTTTGTTGTGATCGAGTTAAAAATATTGTTAGAGACTTTGAATTTTCACAGAAAATGTTCATTTACTTTTTCTGAACGTGGTAAAATGTTCAAAACTATTAAGTTATTTGTGACAACAAGATGTTCATTATTAAGCGTACTATGTGGTCACAAAAAAAAAAACTGTGTTTTTTATGAGAATTTCGATATCAAATTTTGACAAAAATCGTAACCATTACGGCTTTTCAAAATGTTTATAACCGAAACTCGCTTCAAATCGGTTTTCGTTAGCAATGGTTTATCGTTGTTTACAGATGTAAATTAAATAACTTAATGTACATCCTATCTTCCCAACTTTCCACCTACAATAGTGGCACGCCTATCTCCGGTTTTAGCACATTTTTAACTTGATTTTCTGTGCACACATATTATATTATTACCTATAGGTAATCTGGTAATTTTGTTTTGCTTATTAATTATGAAATTGAGGGATAAATTCGTATTTAGCCGATGCTATAAAAAGGCTTATTGTGTACTTTTTAGGGTGCTCATTTTAAACTTGGGGTTGCCAAAGGCCTCCCTAGCAGTCCGCCCTCTAAGTGGTGCTCTTTATGGACCAACCTCCCGAAACCGATGCCTGGCACGATTCCCCGCGCAATGCTAAATCTCTCCGACGCCGTACACGTATGGTTACGTTACTGCGGTTATCTTTTCTAACACTGTCTTCCCGTCTTGGGCGCGGTCTGTTCACGGTCTGAAACCGCCAAAATGCACACCCACCATCGGTACTTGTACCATACATTTAAAAAACGCCATCTTACCCGACTTCGTTTGGGATTTTTTGGTGAGAGTGTGCAAAACTCCGATTCCCACGTTCGAGCTCTTTGGCCCAGGGCGAGAAAAACTCACCAGAAACGGGGAAGAAAAAGAAAAAAGACGGATATACATCACAGAATGAGTTCGTTGAAAAGGTTGAAAAGGGAAATTTGATGTATATCTGGCTACAGTGGTTATTAATAATTAATATAGGTTTTCTGTTCACACTTCAAGTCTCAACAAATATTTTAAACTAAATGAAAGCGGAACAAAACATAAAAAAACATCGTAGGATAATGGAGACGGATGTAGCCACCGTTATGAGTAATTTAATGTATACCTGTAAGGAAAGATAAACCATTGCTTGCTAAAAAACGATTCTGAGCGGAGTTCTGTTGATAGTGATGCTCAGTCAACAATATATATATGTCATATTATAGTAAAATAATTAAATAGGCTTTGTATATATTTTTTAATAATATTTGTTTAATGTTGTACTGATTTCCCAGTTTTCCTACGTTATTCCCAGTTTTCTCATGTTTTATCTCGGTATTTCAAATTTGACGATGAACCTCGTGAAAAAATCAAAATATGACCTCCTTAAAGTACCTTCTTGGTCAAATTTCCTTTGAAAATATTTACTATCAGTATGAATCGGAGCCAAATCGTGTGTAGAAAAGTTGTTCACAGGAATAAAGTAATACGCCTATCCCCAGTCAAATTTCCTTATAGAAAAATTAGAATAGAATTGAATAAATTGGAGCGAAATCGCTAGTAGAAAAGTCGTGCACAAAAAAAAAAAAAAAAAATCGTAATATTTTAGTAAGACATTTTGAAAATTTTCGATTTTGCCTACGGTGTTTCCCATTCGTCACGAAAACAGCCGAGAAAACCAAAAAAACGATATTCTTAAAGTACCGTCCCAGCGAGAAGTCTCTATTAGAAAAATAGTCGCTAAACGCGAAAATCGGAGCAAGATTTACGGTCCGCAGATAAAGACACGAACAAACATTGTAAAACCGACACGTGCGTCGCTCGGCTCAGAATCGAAAGGCCGTCTGAAACTTCCGTGTTGTCGCCGCGGTATCGGATAACACACGGCCGGTGCGTAGCGGCGAACTACCGGCGGCGCTAATGGGAATCGTTTCGACCCCACACTCGACTGTGTGCGCGCGCCCTGTACGCGGTAATAATTTCGCGTTCGATTTATCGTCGCGCCGACGGCGGCGGGGCCTTTGGAAAATAATATTACACGGCACTCGGCGACAAAATATAATATAACAGTGCTCGTATGTGCGGCACGGTGTATAATTTATTTATAAATACCACTTCGATTGGTTCGATTGTTCGGAGAGAGAGGCGCGACGGGTATGGGGGCGGGAGAAAAAAAAATCATCAAAGCGCGGGGCTTTTGTTATTCGGCGGGAAATTCGCGACGACGGCGGCTCGAACGGAAAGCTTTCGTGAAAAAAAAAAAAAAACACACACACACCCTCGGGCGTACGATACGTATAATGTTTGTACACGCGCGCCCGTACACATTCAGATGCGAATCCGGTGCGGCGCGCACGCCGTACGGCACGCGGGTACGCGAGCGCGCGCGTATATTAATTACGAATCTCTTAGCCAGAGACGGAAGACCGTAAATACGTGAGCAGTTTCCGAACTAATAACAATCGTAATGCGCTGTGGAGTGCGCGCGGCGCGGGGCGCGAGCGAACAATAACGGCATTCGGTTTTCCGCGTGTTATAATCATGGTTGTTGTTTTTTTTTTTTTTTGTTGTTGTTTTTTCGCTTTACCGCACAAACGAAAAACGCGACGACGAAACGCCGTCGTGTCTCGAGATGCCGAGCGGGGCTAGGGCATGTATCGTGGTTTTACAATGGCGATCTGATTTGTTTTTCTTCTCCGAACAACTTTTCCACCGGAAATTTCGCTCCGGTTTTCCCGTTGTAACGATTTTTCTCACTGGAAATCAGACCGGGGCCGGGTACTTTTTATCAAAATGTTTTGTTTTGTTTTTTTTTTTCCCCCGGCAGTTTTCCCGACGAGCCGGAAAAAACCGGGGGAAAACGGGAACATTTACGAAACTAATGCTTTGGTCATTTTTTAAATTTTGTCCTGTTGTGATTCGGTTTCAATGTTCGTAGAGAATTGAAATTCGAACAGCAACGTTAAAATATTCGCCTTTTATATACGTGGTAAAATGTTCAAAACATTGTAGCCATGTTTGAGCTATCTACAGACATTTTAATTTTACGTGTTTGTTTTTCACGTAATTTATGTTCGGTAGGTTACCGAGTGTTTACCTTCGTGGATACAATTGTTCGACCAAACAGAAATGCTAGACAATTTGATCATTATAGGTCGTACTTTGTGGAAAAATATATTGAATGAAATGTAGAATTTTTTTTTGTTATAAGAATTTCAATATCATAGTTTTAAAAGCACGCTATAAATAACCGAACTCCGATCAGAATCGATTTTCGGTAGCAACGGTTAATCGTTACGTACAGATATACATATTCAATTTTCACTCTACCTTACCACCTACTCGTCACCTTCAACAATCGCCCACATATCACGCAAAGTATGTCAGTCTCTTTCTTCTATTTTTTTATATTCGAAGGTGAACGCATTCGACGTTTTTTTTCACGTATTTATACCTAGTGTTTTTTAATCGCGGTAACAATCGTTTGCGAAAACGAAGAATATTCGATAATTTTCGGTTTTTCCCACCTTTCAACATTCATAGGCCCAAAAAACGGACAAGCGATACACCTACAAGACACACGATAGCTCATCGACAAAATATTATATTACTTTATTGGCGCGTAACTCTCGAAAAAGCCCGTACGTCTTATATTTCAGCGGATGCTCTTTGCAAACAGACTGTACTTGCGATGTAAAATCGCGGTTCAATCAATAATAACAATACACACTGTAAACGGAACGTATTAACAATTACAAAAAAAAAAAAAAATTGCCTTCGACACAACGGTGGCTTGAATTGGTATCCCGCGAAGCAATAATTGCTTCGTGTCAAATTAAATGGACGGATGAAGGTGTGTGCGATACCATATCGTGAGATATGTTAACGAAAAAGGTCAAGCACGGCTTGCAGTATACGCACACAGGAACGTTTAGCACGCCCTAGTCACAGCTAGGCAGCTGGTTTTCTCTGAGGTTTTTTTTTTGCAATTTCACTAAAACTGCTCGGTAGAAAAAAAAAAACTTCGCGCCACCGCTCTATACTATACCTGTATATACTTGCCGTAGTAGATTTTATTTCGTAAAAGAGTTTACACCACCTCCGGCAATTTTATTCGAGAATATTGTAAAATCGTTCACTTTTATACCAACGCGTAATGTAGATTTTCCGACCGGCGCGGCGGTCGGAAGATTACATTAATAAGAGCATTTTTTTTTCGTGAACAGTTTTTTACTGCTTTTAAATTAAAATATATGACGATGATACACGCCGGACGCAATGGATTTCTAAACTTTCCGTACTCGGGATAGGTAAAACTCACGTGACTCGATTATCATCGTCATAATTCTTCATTATCGTCATTGTCGTCATGTTTAAGAAAAAAAAAACATATAATAAACCGACCGAAGAGATAGCAAACGCATCGCCTCTTCTCCTTCTGTCTATAGTTTCTAAGCCTCTAAGCCGGACTAAGGACCGTCTCGTCTTACATCCTTCACTGTCACCTTTATACTTTTACTTTCCGGTTCGAACCGAGCATACATAATAATCCCACTTCCTTTTTCGATTACGTCTCTTCATATTATTCCGGGCCTATCTAAAGGCCTTTATGCACACAGAGATTCTGCTCCACCGCCCACTTTTATTTCAGATCATTATTTTGACTCATATACGAGCAAGTCTTTTACTCTTACTTATTACGTCTATACTATATGTGTCTTTTAGACCTAAATTGAACTTTGCATTGTCTCCCTTATTCCACTCTCCACAATCCAATAGCTTCATTCATCTTAGGTCCTAGGTTGGCTCGATAATTATTCCCGAGACATTTTTCTTTCTAGTATTAAAGCGGTTTAGAGTAATTCGATTTTCATACATTCAGACTAATATTGAAATAAGCATACTTCCAGTAGATAGTCTAATTTCTGTATTGAAAAATTATTAGACTTGATACACTTATTATCTGTGTTTTGTAAAAAAACTTTTTTATTATTTTTTTTTTTTTTTTGTTACACATAAGATGTAAGTTACTTCGTCTACTAGTTTATTTTAAGAAAAACAATGTTAACTCTTAGCATAATTTAATTAAATCGACTTAACTAAAAAAAAAGAACAAATTTCCCACAAAACGTAGAAGAGAATTTCAAAAATTTAAAATTCAAATTGGGCGAACGGGTAGGTAATGGGTGAATTTCACTTCAGCTTATTAGTCTCATAAAACGTCTTATTCGTCCGTAAAAAACGGCCGTAATCATTCCCGAGCAATAAAATAAATGGAAAAGTCTCGTTATCATTAAAATGGTCGTTAAAAGGTAAAAATAGTTTTCAACTTTTTTTTAAAAAAAATGGAGAAAATGTAGAAACCGTTTTCAGTCCCTTTGAGGATATTATTTTTCCTCATCCAACGTTCTTAGCGGCTCCGCAAAAGATTAAGGGACGAATCAAAGCAACAATAAATTGGATTTTTTTTTTTTTTTTTTTTAATTCACTTGATAATAGCCGTGATATCAATATTTTTTTTCTCGAGTGAAAGTATAATAATAATAGCAATATTATATTGTATATTATAATATCGCCCTTATATCGATTTACAACGCACAAAAGGCGGTAGTTTTGATATACGCTGCGGGGAAAAAGAAAAAAAAAATAAATAAATAAAAAATCGTCCGAAGTATATTACACTATAGGTAATTTGGACGGGTTTTTATTTTCTTTTTCCGTATCCGCACAAAGCTATTTATCATATTATTATTATTATCATTATTATTATATATCGTCGTACCTATATTACGTATATTGTGAAACGGGTGTAGAGGTATCGCCTTTATGTGTATATATATATTTATAATATATAATAATAAATAAAATATGTGCGATTCCCGTGACTTCGCTATCGCTGGTGTCACTCCTCCATCCCCCTCCCCTAAGGGCGCTGACGGTAACGTCCTTTTTTTCCCCTCTCTGTCGGAACGTGTTTAGGGGATTTCGTCCGGACGTACAGGGCAAGTATTATCGAATTTGAAAATAGTGCCGTGTTGTCAGTGGCAAAGGCGTAGCCAAGGAGGGATCTAAGGGGGCTATGGCCTCCCACATGGGCCGTGTTTATGGATGCGTATATCTTCTTCTTCGGCTTTTCAAAGGCCTTTCGGACCCATTGCCGTAACAGTTTCCGCCATACCGACTCCATTGTTTCCAATCTCTCTCATAGTCACTTCTGCGTTCCTCACTCCCAATACCCTCAGATCTTCCTTTATTCTGTCTGCCCATCGTTGTCTGGGTCTCTTTACGTTTGGTTTCACGCTGTTATTTATTCAATTAGCTCTTCTCGATATCTATACACGATCCACCCAACTTATTCGCGTACTTTTCAAGGTTCAACAATACTAGGTTCGTTGTACATTTTTTCTAAATTGTTTTATACAGTATTTTACGATGTCAGTGTAAACTCCATTTATGAATATTTTTTCGATTCTTGAAAAAACTTTTCTCCACTGAGCCGCATGAAAACGATTTATGAACCTATACAGTATGCCAGAAAACCTATTCGATCAAATAACAAGATATTAACGAAAATTATATAAATACCGGTTTTGCTAATATTCTGCTAGGGACATGCAACTGTCAAAGGAGAATAAGTATAATTACAAGTTATGCCAAGACGAATTGTATTCTTTTTTCAGTATTTATTTTTTTATTTATTTTTTTATATATTTTCGTTTGAAATATAACAAATTTAAAATACATCATATCGCTAAAAGAAATTTTCTCAATTTTTTGACGAGAGTTGAAACTCCCCCATTTTTTTCACGTGTGTCTAAAACAAAAACGTAATTTTACACCACCCCTAATTCAAACTCCAGAATATACCACTGATCGGTGACGTGCCCGAGAATTTCTAACAAAAGGTGATACGGTAAACAAAAATCATGACGATTCATGATTAAATAATCGATTTTTCTTCAGTCATACATAACCTGCCAATACAAATTTCAAAACACACGCGGCGTTAATATATAGAAAGTTCGTTTTATGAATTTTTAACTTTCAACTCCCATCCCTACAGTTTTAATGATCAAATTCGATTATTTTTCGGAAGTACTACGACAGCAGATAAAGCATTATAATATGCTGTATAAGTATAGTATTCGGATACTCACTGTTTTGTAAAGAATATTTCTATTATACAAAATAGACGAGAGGAAATTCGATCTTTTTGAACAAAGATTTGCTGTTCACGGGTGGTTTTTTTTTTTTTATCACAACCGTTAAATGTATATAAATTTAAATTATTTTAAAAATAAAAAACTAACTTTAGATTTAAAAAAAAAAAAACAACCTAGTGTGCGCGTATCGCGACGACGACGGTGGAAACCCGAAAACTATTTTCGTTGACGATGCACTTTCGACGCGCATTTCGATTCAATCAAATCGGGTACACATATAGGTACCCCCCGGGGACCTATTATCGAATGAGGGGAAAGACGTTTTCGATTAAAAATCAATCGGAACTCGATACAATTTCGGTATATCTGACAAAAATGTATTGTATTCTCAAATGGCTTTCGATTGCATTACACTATACGATTACTTTGGTACATAGGATAAATAAAAAAAGCTGATACTGTTCTAAAGTTAATGGGTGTGCCAATGTTGTAGGCAGAAGACAGGAAAAAATGAGTTGTTTAATTTATGTGTATATATATATATATATATATAACGATAAGTCATTACTATCGAATCGCGTTTCTGAGCAAAGTCCGGTTAAACATGTTTTAAAATGCAGTGACTTTTACGATATTCGTTAAAAAAAACTACTACATTAAACTCGACTTTTATTTTTTACCCTACTAATTGCCACTTATAATGAACCTCTAGTTAAATGTTTAATCATTTCTGTTGGACAAAATCAATTGTATATCATAAAAAAAAAAAAAAAAAAACAATTAAAACTAAAAAACACGACAAATTCAAATGCCGGTAAAAGCTATTAAAACGCCAGAATATTTTGAACATTTTACGTTTAGAATCTAAAACTAAACATGTGTACGAAACATCAAAAAATACAATACCGTTACGTCTACATAATACCTATAACGCGTAAAAATCTAAAAATTTTTGATTTTTTCATAAACATACATTATCATTTTTGTCGGTTTTATAATATACAGTGAAATCTCTAAATACCGAACACTCTCGGTCGTTGAAATCTTGCCGCTATTTTGAGACGTCCGAAAAAATACATTTTATTTTATTTTGTTTTTGCATTAATCAAATACATCGTAATGTTACGACGTTTCGTCGACGCGATAATATTTCAACGACCGGACGGATAAGATACGGGATACACGTCACGCACAGCATAATAATGCACACAAATAGTAATAAAAGATTACTTAACGGTGTAGACTTTTATTTAGGTATTCTAGAATTATTCTTAGTTTACGATAAAAAAAAAAAAATATATATAATTTGTATAATATACATATATATATATAAATGTTCAAGTGTCCATCATTTATACACGCGTTTAGAGGTGTTCCTATACATAAAACAGTGAAAACGTCCCCGTTCCCGAAAAAAACGTCCGTTATGCGAGGTATCTCTGTATAATGTCTCGACGTTATCAACAAGACTCGCTCCCAGTATGCCCGTGTCGTACGGTCGTAGCCGAAGACCTCGGAGGCAGGAGCGGAATATAAATAGACAATCTGCACCGCGGTCGATCCCGGAACGTCTACGGGCATCCTTTATCATATCTGTCCGGCCGCTGCGGCTTCTTAAATTCGTTCCGATGGTCGACCGTGATTACGGCAGCAATCCGAATAATCGCCAATCGGATTGACATTGACAGATCGCGTATTCGTCTGCTAACCGAGTGGCTGTACCTAGGTATATATTTTCCGCCGGACGGACGGTTGTTCCGGAACGTCCCATCCGATTGTCAAACGGGCCCGCGCGCGCGTTCTCGCGACGATTTCCGATTACGGCCGTCGGATTAGATTAATTACGGAACTCCAGACTTCGGGTGGCGGTTCACGGACGACGTTCGCCGGCGTATACGCAACGGCGGAGTCAATGTACCGGAAGTCGTACGAAAACGTCCCGAAAACCGAACGTCTTTATCGTCCGTACCGATCGAACACAGGTACATTCGGTACCGCGAGGGACGGCGACCGATTTCGTTCGGTCGTCGCGTGCGCGCATCACACGGGGTCTGTTTATGAAAAAGCAGCTACACGAATCGCCGTATATTTCGTTTGTTTCGGAAAAACGACGCGCGCGCGAGTTTCATCGTCCGGCGCCGAACGGTTTTTTTTTCCTTTCGAGATGCACGGTTCCCAATGTACACTGCACTTCAGTGTGATTTGCAATACAATAACGAATCGACATCCGGAATTATGATAGCACGCAGAAAAAAATCTTAAAGAATATGTATTCAGAATTAGCGGCGCCGAATCGTATATGTTAAGGTCAGGCTGCCTTGGCCCGACTCCTTTTAGATATTAACCTTGGGGCCGCTTTATTTGAGAATTACAGAAACAAAAACCCGCGCTAATCGTATAATTTTAGACGTAAATTGCGCTGTGTTTAGCTATTAGAGCCTCTCGAAATGTATTTCGCCCGACTTCGTTTTTAAGACTTCGGCGCCACTGTCAGGGATTGTGTTATGGCGAGTTGTTATCGTCCTAAAATTTGGTAAAAAACAAAATTATCAGGCGTGCGAATAGGTGCGTAATTTTAACGGAATGGTTGAAAAAAAAAAACCGAAGCGCGCATATTCACTTTCGCATAAACTTACAAATCACAAGCATGATACAGTTCTGTATCGAGTATTAATGTGATATTATCGTGAAATCCGTTTCAAAAAAAACACCGTGTTCAGACGAACACGAAAAAAATTACCCGTAAAAATGACTTTAGATATGGAACATTAAAACACCGTAACATTATAAAACGGACACAGGTGATAAATAGATAAGAATATCGCGAGCTCATCTTAAAATGCGTTCTACGTTACTCAACATCAGGCACGTATCCAGGATTATTTATACGGGGGGAGGGAGGTTGGGTCGACTGAGACGAATTGAATTCCATAGGTACACTCCACTCCTGACAAATATGGTAAGAGGGGACGGGTATGGTTTAAGCCTTTAAGGTATAATGGCGTTCGGTAGTTTCAAATTTATAATTTATAATGTATCAGTTGTTACGGTTTTAATATTTAATTTGCAATATGACCCTCGATATATTATATCGGCTGCCGCAACGATAAAGGTCGTATCTCTACGCGTCTAAAGGGATTAGATTAGAAGTCGGAAAAGTGAGATACGACCTTTTTCGTTGTGGCAGGCGATATATTATATTTAACATCTCGAATATTCTTTGTATTTTCGCTAACTGCACTGGTGATCAAAGGCCGGATTAATGGTCCAGCCGGCTCCGGGCCGGATTTTATGAACTTGAAAATGGGCCTTTTTTTTATATACATTTTATGTAAATTTGTGTACTACAAAAATTTTCAACGCACATTTTACACACTCGTATATAAACAAAGACCCCTTCCCCCCGTAAAGCCATAAACATTGCCCTCTGGCCTACCTTTTACACAGGCTTGCCAGTGGCGGTACCAGTGCTTAAATTATAGGCGGGTGGTCGGATTTAATAATGTCTGCACACTCAACATAAACTGTCTAAATTCGCCACTGGGAGAAAATTTACTCATATTAGGCTAGTGACAAAGTTTTTATATTTTAATAATCAGAGCTTGGGATTTTTCGCAATTTTAAATCCACAAAAAGCTTTTAATTTTATAAAAAAATTTTGTTATTTTTTAAATTTATACTTATTCCGTGCACTCTCCATCCATTTTAATGTTTTATGAAAGCTTACAATCTTTACTTTAATATAGTGTAGAATTTGGTAGCACATATCTGTTCCATTCTTAGTTACCACTATAAAACTATAAGAGTAATCTTTTACACGCTGATTTTACTTGTAGTTTTTACGTTATTGTGTACAGTGGTTAGTGTTTTTACCGTTCTTGTACATTTTTCGGGAATCATCTTATTGATGCCATTGATGGTTAAATTTTAAAAAATAAAGTTGAATTAAGTTTTCAAGTATATCTAAAACATATTTATTTATGTGTCGCATATCGTACGCTAAATCACTAATAATTTTGAAAATAATTCTTTTACTCTCCTAAATAAAGAACGAATCTTAAAAATCATATTAAATTTAGATGCTCAGACCTAAAAGACATGCCATTTATCGATATACCATACCGTCAGTTACAATATTTTCGAAAAATCCTAATCTCCTCCCTCCAATAAAGGATACGTTTTAAAACTGATAACAAATTTGATTTGCGTTCGAGGACCTTTTAATCTATGATTTGATAGCTAGTTTTTAATTTTGTCTAATATAACACTCGAAAATAAATAAGTAGGGTTCGGATGTTATTTACTTGAAATATGCATTTATGTACTAAAAAATTACTAGAGATGCACTAACAATCATAAAATGTGCATTTTTAGAGTTTAAAAAAACACCTAACTATGCACAAAAAAATGTATTTTACCTTTAAGTATTTAATTTTTATCAGTAGTTTTTTTTTATTTATAATAAAAGCGTTACGGTGTGACACCATGGTTTTTTTATAATTTGTTCAAATTGTAGGCTTTTTTGCATTTCGTTATTAATTTAAAATGTTTTTAAAAAAGTACGAAAATATTCAGAAACATACATTCATATACTTAAAATCCTAAAATATGCATTTCAAATACAAAACCCTTGAACACGCAAAATAAAAATAGTATTAGTATTCGATTCAATGGAACATGAATTCGTATCCAGGTCAGCATTGAATCGGATAAACGGAAAAAAATTGGCAATTTCATAAACACCCGAACACTATTAATAATAATTAGTGCAAAGGTTCCCGAACTTTTTATAGCACGGCCCATATTGGAAATAATTTTAATTTCGGTGACTCACGCCATTTTTTTTTTTTGGTTTATTTCTCATTTCTGGATGATTCATGAAGTTTTTTCAGTCGCAAACTCTCATTCACACGTATAAATCCAATTTGCCGGTACAAAATGTTATTCACAGAGAAAAGAAAACGGCCGTAATATTTTTTAACTAATACCTACATCTCGTACATTTTCTTGTTTTTCCCATTTATCGGGAAAACTCTTGGGGAAATCAAAAAATGACCCCATTAAAGTACCACCCCGATCAGATTTCCTTTCAGAAAAAGCGCTACACTTGTAAATCGGAGCAAGATTTCTGGTAGAAAAGTTAAGGTTTTCACGGATATATAAAAAAAAAAAAAAAAATAAATAAACATCATTGTAGAACCGATACATTCCACTCTCCACTCAGAATCTGAAAAAATTGTATCGTTTAAAAACACAACGCGACCCACTAAAAATATGATCGCGACCCACGGGAACCTCTTAATTAGTGTATTTCGAAATGTTTAAAACGCCGTGCGCCGTCGGTCCGTAGGCCGTGTATTATTCGCGGTTTTTCGCGAAAATTCGCATCGCTCACGTCCGTGTACCACGCTTGATTCGGTCTCGGTGTTCGTTTGAATCGTCGGCGTATTACAACGTCACGATATTAAAATGAATAATTCCGATCCCGATCTATTTAAAAATCCGTTTTATTTACATTTTGCGGAAATCCGGGGCCTTTGATGTTTCGCGCGTCGCGTTTTACGCGATTATTATTGACGGATGCGCGTTTATATTTAATAACATTATGGCACGGTACCCATAGTATCGCGTACGTATTATTGGCTAATTTTTAGCGCCGCGTGATGTATTATGCCGTCCGTGCACGGAAACTCGTCGCGTTAAAAAAATTTTTTACGCCGTTTCGTGTTTGAAATTTCGTAGAAAAAAGGTATGTATATAACGGTCCGCGCGTTAATATTTTGTTTATTCCTCGCGTCTCTTTCATTTTACAGCTTTATATTTGAATAAATAATCGTGACGGGCGTGCGTATCTGCAACACGGCGAACGTTAAATATTGCATTTTCCGCTGTAATATTCTGATTAAGGAATAATATAATATTATTGCGTAGCCGTATGACGGTGTCATAGTTATTTCGATAAAAAATAATAATAAAAAATGTTCCGCGTTAACTGAAACGAAATCGATTCGTATTTATTATGCATAAACCGGTATACGGTTACGATGTATAGGTACCTAACCGTAATCCGCGTTTGATGTCCAAACTCTGATGATTTTTATCGCCCGTGGATGTAAAATATTTGTTCCGACCGCGAATCGAACGTCAAATATCGAATATTTTTTTTTTACTGACGACGTCGGTGTTATAAAAAAGTTGATTAATTTTTAACCGATTTCGGCGAAAGAAAAAAAAAACCCCACTGTTCTCAAACCTCGTTCCGTTGTACGCGTTCGTCTGCAAATCTGATTTTCCAATAGTTCTATATGCGCGGAAATGACACTGCCGTACTGTCTCATCCTGTTAGTCCGCGGTTTTCTGGATTAAACAGAGTACACAGCACCTCATCACTCATTAGTATCGTATACCTTATACTAATATTATTATTAAACACACGATTATTTACTTACTAAACGAATTTCAGATTTCAATTTTAATTCGGATTCCTGACGACGGTGTATCGGGTATATGCATAGTAGACGGGGTCACGAATAGTATTCTACGAGATCTGTTCCGCATTTGTTTAAAACGATTTAAAACGTTTTATCAAGTCCCTATGGTTGAAACGTTCGAAAATTGAATTAAAATAAAAAAAAAATATGTGTTCTAAAGAGTGGGGATAGTAATTATGTGTGTAGTTTCTATTCATTCTGAAAATATAATTGAAAATGAACAGTTTCTATTAGTTTTGGACGAAGGAGTAGCATATTAAGATTCGGAGCATAGTGAAGGATCAATTGGTTTTACTATAATGTGTGTTTTGTACTTTTTTTGTCTGTGTCTATGTGCAACTCTCCTCCAGAAATCTTTATCCAATGTATCAAAGGGTAACTTTTCTGAAAAGATATTGCATTTTATTTGTGCATTAGAAATGTCATTTTTTATTTTTATTTTTCAAAGGGTTCTCATTGAGTAAACGGTAAATATTTACGGCACGCCCAGGCGTTATTGATTCCATTGTTTTTAATTTTTGCAAACTATGTTTTCTACTAGAAACACTGCTTTAATCAAATAATGTACATTGACCTTTTTTGTTGAATTTTAAATCTAGTTGCTCAGGAAGTAGGTCGTTTTTTTTGAATTCCCTTGTATTTTCTTTTTATTAATTAGGAAAAAAAGACGTAAAATGATATACTTACAGCGTTACGATTTCATTATTTTAAATTTGTACGCTTTATTTTTTTTTTCGCCAGAAACATTACTCCAATAAAAAAAACAATAAGAGACCTTTTTTGTTGAATTTTTAATTAAGTTGCCGAGTAAAAAAGTCGATTTTTGATCCCGTGTAGTTTTTTTTAATAATTGAGGAGCAAAGCAAAACAAAAGCGTAGAAAAAACGGAAAAATGTACGAAAGTAATGGTTTTATTATTTTCTATTTTGTTTTTTTTTTACGTTTCAATTCAATTGAAAATATTCGTTAAAGACTTAAAAAAACATATTTGCTTTTTCTAGACGTGATAATATGTTCAGCAAATTTATGTTATTTTTGAGCTATTTAAAGACATGTTTAATTTAAGAGGTTTTTACATAATTTTTATTTTGTAAGTATACTCTATAATGGATCAAAATTGTCAGACTAATCATTAATGGTTCAATGATGGACAGGAGGTTTATTATAGGTATTAATTAGTGGTAAAAAAAAAATAAGTATACCTAATAGAGTATTTATTTTTTTTTTTTGCTTTTAAGAATTTTAATATCAACTTTTGAAAAGAATCGCAAATATTACTACCTTTCAAAACAGGTACAACTGAACTTCACTCCGAATCGTTTTTCGTCAGCAATGGGTTTTCGTTGCTTACAGGTATATAAAACAAATAACTTTATGTATCTTACCTTTCTAACTTCTCACTTACAAGAGTGGCACTCTAGTCCCCAGTATCAGTTTGTTATAAAATAATTATTATACAATTATAATTATAATGAACTATTATTATAATATGATATTTACTAAACACTGAAAAATAATGTTTAAAACAAGAAACCGTACTTAAAAAATATACTTGTTTACAATTAAAAACATTTTTTAATAAAAAAAATCACCCTGCTACTAGTTGTTACGCGATATTGTTATATACCTATTATTATTTAAAACGAAAACGTTTTTCGTCGTCTTTTTAATATTATATACATATTTTTTTTATGTCAGAAGAACATCGTAAAACGTAGGTACTATATACGCAACATCATAGCAATCAAATTTTCTATTGTTTACGATTTTCATCGTGGCTGTTTATAATAAACTATAAAAATATGATTTACAATTAACTTTCCCGATTTATTTTCAAATTCTTAGTGTAACATATATACTGAACATTTTATATTGGTTTTACTATAAAATTTATTACTTTTTTTTCTCGGATAAAACTGCACATTTCGGGTTGCTAAAAACGTTCTGAATAATTCACCTCAAAATATCGGAGATTTTTACTCGCCGCAGTGGTAATTGATTGGTTTGAAAAACGATTACCATCAAAAATGTTTCCAAAGTATTTTTAAAAAAACTGATCGACAGTGTAGGTACATTTGTTTTGGTTTTATTTTCAATTCCGAGCATAGCAAGTAATGCATTGGTTTTATAAAAAAGTGAGTGTCTTTTTTTTTTTTCACAATATGTTTAATAACACTTCGATCAAAATCAGTTTTCGTTACCAATGATTAATCGTTACGTACTGATATATGAATTGAATAACTTTATGTATCCTACCACCTTCCCGAATTTTCACATACAACTGTCAGCAGATCAGGTCATTTTTTATTTAATTTTTTTAATTTTTAGTTGCTGAACATATTGTAAGAAAATTGTCTACTGTCGAATTACTATTTCCGAAATTACCTAGAGACGTCACAGTAATGTGTTAAAACAAATTATGAATGTTACCGGAAATTACCTGTAATAATATAATTACTGTGTTTTCCGATTAACTGCAGTGTGTCTCAAGTGTTTTTAAATAACCATTGCTTTTTTATATAAATGCGAACGGAACGTTTCTTGAAATATTAATTATATTCACGAAGCTTATTAAATATAATTATGTTACACGTCGTTAAACCCCTAAGTATTTGAAACGTCTCTTTTAATCTGTTACGGCCGGTTCTGTGTGTTACTTTGAACTTTTATTTTTCATTAGTCTTTAAACCTCGTAATTGCATTTAAGAAGAGGTTGAAATCACGGACAAAAAAAAGTGGGGTTTAGATCCGAATGCATAATCCAAATTATTTACGTGGAGAGATTTTAATTTGTAATAATTTTTTTTTTTTCCTGGTCATTGGAAGGTTTCAATCCCCAAAGTTACATCCCCATCGGATGTGCCACTTTCCACAACCGAGAAACTGTAGTGTTCGGGTTCGACGGATTTAGTTTGATTAACAATAATTTACTATACGGAGACGATTTAGAATGTTCCGAAAATTATATAATATGTTTCCCGGTGAAGTATGTAAATATAAAAATACCATAGTTTTGTTCATCGTAATCACAGCCGGGAAAAAATAAATATCTAACATCGCTTTAGTTAGTATCTCTAGTAAACTTGTTAATCAATCAAAATCCGTTTTCAAAATTAAATACGTCAAACCCATTCCGTACGTTTTTGTCTGGCCTTTCGGTCAAAAACTTCATACTCGTTCATAAAAACGGCCGTACCCTTTCTCCTTGAATAAAGGGTATCGGAGTAGGGAACGTCTTATAATTTTTAAGTGGCCATTAAAATGTAAAACAAATTCAGACTTTATAAA